CCAATATTAATTGAGCAAATGCTCAATGCTTGAACCACACCAGGTGTGTGTGGAAATCATTATATATATTATGTTGTTGTTGTTATGTGCCGTGGAGTCAGTTCCAACTCATAGCGACCCTGTACAGAGTTTCCAAGGCTTAAATCTTTATGTGAGCAGGAAGCCTCATCTTTCTCCCGCGGAATAGCTGGTAGTTTCAAACTGCTAACCCTGAGGTTAGCAGCCTGATTCGTAACCTCTACGCTACCAGAGCTCCATATATCTCTATCTATCTATCTATCTATCTATCTATCTATCTATCTATCTATCTATTGTTGTTGTTGTCAGGTGCCTTTGAGTCAGAACCGACTCATAGCAACCCCATGCACGGCAGAACGAAACAATGTCCAATCCTGGGCCAACCTCACTACCGCTGCCACACTGAGTCAATCAATGACGCCACCTGCTGATCCATCTCATGGGGGGGTCTTCCTCTTTTTCTCTGACCCTCCATCTTACCTTGCATGACATCCTTCTCCAGCAACTGTTCCCTCCTGAAAACACGTCCATGAACCTGTGACAGTCTATGTGCAATAGTACATCTTTAAAATTTTATTATTGGATATAACAAAAATGTGTGTGCTTGATATGGAATTTTATATAAGTGGAATAATATATCCTACGTATTCTTTTGTATATAGCATTTTCCATGCATATGAGCCTCAATTTTCTTGTGTGCCTCTGTAATTTATTAATTTTCATTACTCTATAGGGTTTCATTGTGTGAAAATTACATAATTTATCACATCTACTGATATGTTTTTCTTAAGTTTTTATTGTGAATTATGTGATAATTTACATTAGCTTTACATTCATCCTATTGTATTTTGTTTCATTGCTATGATTACAGTGCCCTCCATGCATCATCAAATAACCAGAGGGTACACCCCATAAACTTGCTTCTCGGCCATCGGCACACAGATCCTCTCCCTCCCTGAGTCCAGAGTCCCCAACTGCTCCATATCTCCAAGTCATCACCTCTGCCTCCATCTCTGGTGTCACTGCTTCTCTGGATAGGGTCCTGCATTCCACTCTTCTTAGTTGATGGTCCCAGGGACCTCCGCTCCTGGACTGAAATATCAACCATCACTATTGTTAATGGATATTTGCACTGAATCTTATTTTTGGCAATTATGAGAAGAGCTGCTTTGAAAAAATCCTCATTATGTACTCTGTTGTACCTGCACACACATATCTCCAGGAAATAGATCTCAAAAAGGGAATTTCCTTCTCATATGGTATATGTCATATGCAGCTTTTCCAGGTCTGTTTTCCATATATTCCAAAGTAATTATATCCCTTGACTTGCTCATACAGGTCTATCAGCAGTGCCTGTATCAATTCACACTCATGCATCTTCAGTATTATGAGTGATCTTGGTGCTTCACAATATAACTTAGATTTAAATGGTCAGATCTTTATATTTTTATCAACATAAAGCTTATGTGGAAGGAAGTACTTCTTTAAAATTCTCTGAGAACTATTGAGGTTGAGTATCTTTATACATACGTCTAGGCCGTTTGTACTTTCTCTTCAGTCAAATTTCAATCAAAGTTCAGAGCAGGCATTAAATATTGCCTCTCTTCTCTGAATTCAGCCTTGAGTTCATGCTCTGTGATAGTAGGATGCATTCTTTAAGCATTTATCCTTTACAATAAACACATTAGAAGATATGGAAGGGGCATTGCAGGAGGTGTTTCACTGTCTGTGAGTCTGTATTTACTCATGTTGTTCATGTTCATTCAGTCTTTCTTGTCTTGTGGATTCTGGGAAATCTCTGACAGTTAAACCAAATCCATGGTTGAGGATATCCAGACCCACTTATGCCATCCACACGTGGGGTGTGAACCCAGGCAGGGATTGATTGACAGTCAAAGCTGCCTACTGAAGGTTTCTTTTTCAGGCTGTAACATAAAATACACACTCAGACTCTCAAAGTGAAAATTTTCTTTTCCTGAAAGAAAAGATTTGGGGAAAAGGCAATTGTTCTGTCGTTGGACGACTGCCACAGAGTGAACATGCTGACCACAGGATCTGGAGATGTTTCTAAAAGTCATGGTGAATGTGTTTTCTTTTATAGAGAGTGAGTAAAAGATATAAAGAAAACCCAGCTTTGAAGAAGTGAAATGAGCAGGTGTCATCATGGGATAATCAATCAGACAGTTTTAGGCTGAGTTCAGCCTTTACTCTGAGTTTTTGTTAATTACCATTGGAAAACACTCCAACTCATGGCAACTTGATGTACAGCAGAAGGGAACACTGCTTGGTCTTGTTCTAGCCTCCTAATTTTTGCTATGTTTCAGTCCACTGCTATAGCATCTCATGGGTGCCTTAGGCCAGGTTTTCTACAGAAACAAAACCAGTGAAACATATACAGATATGTTAAATATCAAGGAAATGGCTTACAATTGCAGAGTCCCAGGTCCCCAGTGTAAGAGAGCAAGAAAGAGTCTTCACTGCATGTCCATTTACTGGGAGCAGGTGACATCCCCAATAAAGCACCCCTTCAATTGATTGGCTGTTCATAGCCACTCATCAGATTAACTATGCCTGTGATACGTTTCATCACTGGGGGAATAAGCACATCTCAGCTGCTAAGTCTCTGAAATCCTGGCCTAGTCAAGTTACAAAAGCCCTAACTTTTACAAGATGTGTTCCCTCATTTTCTCTCACTAGCCCTCTAAAGTTACTAAATATAAATGTCCTTTCCTAGTGAACGATCTTCCTTATGATGTGTACAATTAAACAACGTGAAGTCTTTCTATCCGTGTTTCTAAAAGGCATCCTGACTGTACATCATCCGAGACTAATTTATTTGTTCTTCTAGAACTCCAGGTACATTCAGCATTCTTACCCACATCACAGTTCAAATGCATCAATTCCTCTTCCATCATCTTCATCGTGCTTTTACATCCATTTGAGGAAACTGAACAGACCATGGCTTTCGTCAGGCTCACCCTAAACATAGAGTGATATCTTTGCTTTTTGAAAATTTAAAGAAGACTTTTTCTGCAGATTTTTGCCATGCAATGACAGGAGGTTTCTTAACTATTCCTTGTATGGACGTTGACTTTTGATCTAATTAGAATATAATCTTACCAATTTAAAGTTTTTCCAAAATTTATCATAATGTTATTTATAGGACCAACTGGGAAGATTTTAATTTTCTTTCTGTTCAGGAGTAATTGATGTTGAGGATCACATAGTCATCTCTGCAAGTGGTCCTTAAAGGGGGAGCTGACATTGGCTAAATTCAGAAACTTTGTAGAGGAAAGAAATTTAGCCAGTTTCGTTAACTAGAACTTGATTCTGATTGATAATCGGGGACAAACGATTTCATTACTCATTTATGAGGCAAAGAATGGAAATTGGAGGGTTTGAGTCTGGCCTTGTTATAAGTAAAAGGCGACATCTCTAAGTCTTATCTAAGTCATAAGGGAAGGGCGATTATTTGCAGCAAATAGGTTACGTGACCATAAATGGTTGGCAGATTTCTTTAACCACCATGACTTTCTAATATCACAGGGTTCATGCAAAATTTAAGTGAATACTCTATCTTTTCTTTTTGCCTCTTCATTTCTACAAAAAATGTAGGCTGAACACCTTGTGGTTCCCATTAGCTGTTGAGGTGAGGAGAAAGTTCCGTTAATATCTGGTTTGTTCTTATCTTGGGAGGGGACATTCCAGGTGTCATAGGTTAATGCAAGATGATTTCCCTCAGTATGGCCCACCTGAGTGGGTGCTAGGCTCCCACTAAGCTTTGCTTGTCTTTTCATGTTTCTGTATCCCAAGTTCACGTATTTGCAGAATGCTGGTTTACTTGAATCCACAATTAACACTCATAGAAGCAATTGTAAAGAAACCAAACTGCATATTGCATGGAGCATACCTACTGCAAAAGAACTCTATAAAATTTTAAAAAACAAAGACGTCAAGATGTGCCTCTCCCAAACGATGGTATTTTCAGTAACTTTATATGAATGCAAAAGCTAGACAATGAATAAGCAAGACAGAAAAACGGATGCCTTTGAATTATGATACTGGTAAAGAATATGGTCTATAACACAGAGTGACAGAAAAATGAAGAAATCCATTTTGGAAGAAGTACAGCCAGAGTGTTCTTTGGAAGTGATGACATATACTTTGGACATGTTGTCAGGAGGGACCAGCCCCTAAAGGAAGACATCGTGTTTGGTAAAGTAGAGCCAATGAAAAAGAGAAAGGCACTCAATAAGAAGAATTAGCAGTGTCTGTCACAATGGGTCAAACATGCCCACAATTGTGAGGATGGTGTAAGTTCAGGCAATGTTTTGTTCTATTGTACACAGGGGCCAATGAGATGGAACCAACTTTATGCTATCCAACAATAGAAATGACAGCTATTTTCAGTAAAGTGATCTTCAGCATCAAAATGTTTCTTGGTAACAAGAAACCCCAAATTCCTACTATCTGTCTTTTCATATCTTGAATGTTTATAAGTTGACATGTATTTTAACACATAAGTATATGAAAGGCTAGAAAATTTTTGTGGAAAATTCTATTTTCTTTCATTTTATTGCACTTTTGAACCCCCTAATAGATATCCTTACATACACAGAATGACATATACATATATAATTTTTTTGTAATATAAATTCGAGCCACTTGTTTAGGATTTTTTTTTGATTGTAGGTTTATAAGAGAATGCTGTTGATTTTAAAAAGCTATATTTCAACCAGTTCTGGACTGTTACTGGGAATTTTATTATCTAAGTTGAGTTCTGCGTCTTTCATAGTCGAATAGGCACTGTTTTGCAATACTATTTTTGTCTCCACAACTCATTGCAATGTAATTTGCTTATATAATCCTGTCTGTTTTGCATAGATCCTCTTGGTCTCAGTGGCTGCTCAGAGCTTTACAAATATGACCTTTCCTCCCATCAGTGAGAACTGAGCTGCATCAGTCAGGGCACCTGCACCACGATGATGGCACAGCCCCAGCTCCTCATGGTGTTGCTGCTCTGGGCATCAGGTGAGGGAACGAAAAGCACTAGACTACTATCTTTGTAGGTTAGGAAAAAATGATTTTAGATGTGGAGTGAAATAACAATTATTTAAAAATCAAATGATCACACTCATTACAATTTTGGGTGTCATGTGAATGATTTACTTTTAAATGTGTTGACAAAGTGTATGTATGCATGGTAATTGTGCCCTCTGCTTGCAGGTGCCTGTGGGGACATCATAATGACCCAGTCTCCAGCTTCCCGGGCTGTGTCTCTGGGAGAAACAGTCACCATCAACTGCAAGTCCAGCCAGAGTCTTACCATTGGTAGCTATCAGTTCTTAGCCTGGTATCAGCAGAAAGCAGGACAAGCTCCGAAACTTCTCATCTACCTGGGATCCAACCGGGCATCTGGGGTCCCTGACCGGTTCAGTGGCAGTGGGTCTGGGACAGACTTCACTCTCACTATCAGCAGGGTCCAGGCTGAAGATGTGGCCAATTATTACTGTCAGCAATATCATAGCTATCCACCCACACTGCTTCAGCCCTTAACATAAACCTCCTCCCCAGGCTGGGACAGGAAGGCTCTGTAGCAGCAGCTGCTTCCTCCCCACAGGACAGGAGCTTGCACTCTTCCTCCATCTAGTGTGCTTCTGATTTATATGTAGGACTCAGGTGATTTTAAGGGACTGTGTTTCTTTGATTCCTTGTGGAATCTTTGATTTCCTACAGGAAAAATGCATTACAATATGTTGTATTAGTTTTCTACTGCTGCTGTGACAATTCAAAAAAAAAAAAATTTAGTGGCGCAAAGCAAGATTTCTTATTGTACAGTGCTGCAGGGCAGAAGTCCAAAATAATCTGACTGGGCTAACATCAAGGTGTCAATGAGGCTGCATTCCTTTTGAAGGATCTAGACGAGAAACCATTTCCTTGCCATTTCCAGATCCTTGAAACCTCTTGCATTCCGTGGCTCATGACCCCCTTCCTCCATTTTCAAAGGCAGCAAGATGGCCTCTTCTTCAGCTGTCACATCTCCCCAAGAGCACAGACTAGAAGAGTTCTCTGCTTGTAAGGATGAATGCTTCTAAGATTGGGTCCAGCTATGGAATCTTGGGTAATAGCCTCATCACAAGGTCTTTGCTCCAAACCCTATGTTCAAAGTCTCTTTTTTCATACAAGGCAACATATTGATAGGTTTCCGGGACTTGATGTAGTCTTCTTTGAGGACTCTTATTCTGTACAATAAAACATCCCATGGACCCTTTTCCTGCAATATAAGAACACTGACCATGTGCCCCGTACAGAGATACACTTGAGGGATGTAACCAAGGATTACTGGTCTGCTCACTGCTGGAGAGGATCCAGTGAGATTCATACCTTGATGGATCACCTACCACTTCCTTTGTTTTCTTGACTCTAAACTTTCTTCTTCTTTTTTTATTTTCTAAGCTTTTATTGTGAATTGAGTGATAGTTTACAGGGCACATCATCAGTTTTACATTCAATGAATCATATACCTTGTTTTATTACAATGATTATAATCCCCTCTATGTACCATGAGTTAACAATATTTCTCTCTATTCACCTTATATCTCTCCTTTTTTTTTTTTTTTTAAACACTCAAGCCTATGTAATAATTCACACTACCAAAAGGCACATTCAGTAAGTCTGCCTCCTGGCTGCCAGCTCTTACTCCCTCTCTTTCCATGAATGTAGAGTCCTCAGCTGTACTCCCTCTCCATGTCCCCATCTCTGCCTCCATCTCTGGTGTTGCTGCTTCTCTGGATAAAGTCTCTAATTCCGCTTGTGCTCTTCTCCCTTGATGGGTCTAGGGTCCTGTGTTCCTGGACTGTAAAAGTAACTACTCCCCCATTGTTATTACAAAACTTCTACCTTTACAATTGTATCCGTTGCAATTAGTCATGATAACAATTACTCTCTATTGAATCATAAGAATCTTATCCCCATCTGTTTTAACTAGATCCATCTAGACAAGATGAAAACTATTCTGTGAGGACTTTCTTCCCCCACACACTCTTAAACTATACTCTATATTGAAACCTTGTAAGCCAGTCACTTTGTGTCTTTATCACACCCTCGTCTTAGGTAGTCAATGTCCAACTTGCCGTCCCTATCTACCCAGTATACGGAGGGGAGAGGACTGATAGTTGATGTGAAGACTCCTTCCATCTCTGTTGGTATTTAGAGTTACTACCTCCATTAGTCAGGAGCTCTGGTAGCATAGTGATTACGAATCAGGCTGCTAACCTCAGGGTCAGTAGTTTGAAACTACCAGCTGTTCCACATAAGTCTTTCTGCTCCCCTAAAGATTCACAGCCTCGGAACCCCTGTACAGAGTCACAATGAGTCAGAAATGACTCCAGGACACATATCCACCACCACCACCTCAATGAGTTCATCAAATTATAGCGAATTACCCATGTTTCCTTTATCAAAAATTGTTTTGCTCTTTCTTTCTTTTTAATCTTCTCTAATCGAGTTCTGATTATCAAGTCATCAAAGCTAGGTCAAATGGGTACTATATGGAAATTTGGGTGTTCTTGTGCATCTCCCCTCACTTGCTTCATTCTCTTCTCTAGGCCTGTAACTTTATCCTTTTAACTTATTCCCATTTCTTTCCTTACTCTTTACATGCTATTATGCCTTATTCAGAATCAGAGCCACCAACATTGTCTGTAGTCTGTTTCCCTCTGTCCCTTTCTTCTGGACACTATTGTCCTTAGGTCTGTCCTGTGTCATCTTTTGATGTTAAAACAAAGTGAAATTAAAGAGAGGAAGGTCATTTCTCTCAGCTGGACTTCTCTTATAAAGGCCATGCTGCAGTTCTCTCATCTTTGTGGTTGTTAACTGCTGATGAGTCAGTGCTAATTCTTAGAGATCCTTTATAAGGTTTCAAAGGAGCAGCTGGTAGCTTTGAACCGCCATATTTGTGGTTAGCAGTCCAATGATTATTTTACAGCACCACTGTAAGTCTCCTTATGATCTGTAAATGTGAACATATTGCCCATCATCTTGATTCATCTGGTATCATTTTTAAATACATCTTTGCCCCTTCCTTGCCATGTGACCTTGAGTAAGTTACTCAAATACTCAGTGATAAGATTTCCTTGCATGTAAAGTGAACATAATGATACTAGCTATTTTGTAGAGTTGTTGGAAACCTAGATGAGTCAATAAAACTAAATGGTTTGAACAGTATTGGTGTACATGTAATCTTGGGTATTACTATTATTATAATTCTTTTTACCTTTTCTTCTTCACAAGTGGAATTTCTCAAAATTTTTTAATCACTGTATTAGTTTCCTTTGACTGCTGTAATGATTCAGCATAACTGTGGCATCTAATCAATAAAAATTTACTGTCTTATGGTTCTGGAAGTCAGAAGCTGTCTATCAATATATGCAATAGCTGTTGAGTTCATTCCAAACATGGTAAACCATGAGATCAGTATCACTGGGCTCAATCAAGGAGTTGCAAGAGATGTGACACTTAACTACCACAACAACAATTATTCATTGGAGTGTTGATGTAGAACTGTAGGATAATGTGCTGTACAGCAAGGTAATTTTGAATCACAAGGTTGGCAGTTCAAACTCACCAACCACTCCTCAGAAATCCTCTACAGGGTTACTATGAGTTACAACTGACTAGATGGCACCTAACAACAAAAACAAGGTCTCTATTTTAGTAATGAGCACACTGTATGTTTTGGTTAATTTTAGACATTGATAGAATTCATATGTGTGTTGTAAATTTGTTGAAGAATCACTAAAGAATTATAAATTTATAACACAGTGAAGGAGAGCAAAATGAAACAATTAAATAAGTGCTCAGTCAACACTTAAAAAAAAAAAAGTCAGGCAAGTACAGACACTTAATGTATAATGTTGTTGTTGTTAAGTGCCTCTGAGTCAGTTACAGCTCATAGAGACCTATGCACAACAAAATAAAACTCTGCTTTATCCTGTGCCGTCCTTACAATTGTTGTTACACATGAGACCATTACTGTTGCGATTGTCCCAATCAATCTCCTTGAGAGTCGTCTCCTGTTTCAGTACCCTCCGCTTTAACATACAGGATGTGTCCTGTGTCGGTTCCAACTCATAGAGAACCCGCACGGGGTTTCTAAAGAGTTACTGGTGAGTTTGAACTGCTGACCTTGAGGTTCAAACCAACCTTGCAGTCCAGTGCTTATCATACAGCACCACTCCAAGAAGATTAAAGCCAAGAAAACACTACAAAGTGCAGATCTGCTTTATTAACACCTGATATTCTTGTTGTAGTTGTTGTTAAGTGCCGTCAAATCAACTCTGACCCATAGCGACCTTGTATAGGGTTTCCAAGGCGCAGATGGTGAGCTTGAACCACCAACCTTGCAATTCAAGTGACTTTGCAGTCTGACACATTAGCTCATGGCACCACACCAAGACTCCAATACATGAAATTGGCACATGTTTTAATCAATTTGATGGCAGTGGATTTGATTTTAGTAGGTTACAGTTTCTAGGAGTAGAGCTATATTCTAGAAGAGGGCTTATTGGAGTCATTCATGTGTCAGTTGTCCAAATGCTCAATTCACAGAGTCAATGTTTTCAGAGTGGCAGCAGGAGCGGCCTCCAATAGCTAGTGTCCCATGACTGGTGACCAGTGGTGGTGGAGGCAGTAGAGCTCTCCACTCTCCATCTGTATTGGTGGTGTGATCTGGCTTGTTGTGTGTGGTGTTTATGCCATCTGGTTCCCAGTGCATTTTCTCAGCCATGTTCCCCAGACTCTCCATCAAATCTACAATTCACCCAGTCTACTATGTTAGATGCTACTAACTGTGCTAATATTGAAGTACAGAAAATATATGAGGCCAATCAGGCAGAACCCTCAGTGTATCATTTTTATGTTTATTCTGCTCATAATGGAAAGCTTTGGAAAGTTTTGCAGACAGATCACATGATCAAAATTAGTCTTTAAAAGAGATCACTCTAGTTTTAAGGCAGTAGTCTAGTGGTTACGAGTCAGGCTGCCAACCTCAGGGTCAGCAGTTTGAAACTACCAGTGGTTCCTTGGGAGAAAGAAGAGGCATTCTGCTCCTGTAAAGATTCACAGCCTCGGAAACACAGTACAGGGTTACTATGAGTCGGAATCGACTCCATGGTACTTAACAACAACAACACTTTGTAGAAACAAAAGCCTAGATGTAAGACCAGTTAGGAAGCTAATTCTGGCATCAAGCTGTTGCCCTTGTTTAAGTTCATGACAAGGAAAGATGGATTGGGGAGAATCTCGGTTTTTAAATGGGTTGTGCTTGGTAATAAACTGACCATGAGGGTTGAAGTAAAGTGTAGTACTAAGGATGACTCCAAAGTTTCTGGATTATACAACTGAATGTGTGGTGGCACAGCTTCTCTAGTAGGGGGCTTGCTGGGTTTGGAATATGGGCAGTTATGGAGGGAGGGACCATGACTTAGGGTTCAGACACAGAGTGAGAGGGACCTTTGAGACATCCAAGAAGAAATTTAAGGGTTTGTAATTAGAAGAGAATTCTGAACTGGAGATATAAACTGGTATGAAATATACCAAGTAAAGAGAACTTTGATGTAATCGAAGCTTTATCAGCTGAAGTACAATTCTTTTATTCAGCAAATATTAATTGACTCAGTGTCTGGAATTGTGCCAGGAACTTTCTGGAAATCATCATTTTATACACACACACACACACACACACACACACACACACACACACATATATACAAGGAGCTCTGGTAGCATAGTGGTTACAAATCGGGCTGCTAACCTCAGGGACAGCAGTTCTAAACTACCAGTTATTCGGCAGGAGAAAGATGAGGCTTTCTGCTCCCATAAAGATTTATGTATAAATTAAGCTGTGACATTATATGTACAATAAGTACATATTGAAATTTTTGGTTTAGGGTATAAGAAACATGTGTATGCTTGACATGGGAGAATTTTTTTCCCTGAAAGAGAAGAATGAATCAAGAAAAAGCTATTATAGCATTGGTGGACTCTTGGTGGACTACCGTCGCAGAGAAAACACACTGATCATATGATCTGCAAGTGTTTAAAAGTTATGGAAAAGATGTTTTCTTTATTAGTGAAAGTGAAAGATATAACGAAAAGCCAGCTGTGAGGAAGTGAAATGAGCAGGTGTCATCAATGGACAGTTTTAGGCTGAGGTCAGTCTTTATTCTGAGGTATTGTTAGTTACCACTGAAAAAGCTATGACTCACGGCAACTAGATGAACAGCAGGGGGAGCATTGCTTAGTCCTCTGCTAGCCTCAAAATGTTTGGTATGTTTGAGTCCACTTTTGCAGCATCTCATGGAGGATGTCTTAGACAGTTTTTCTAGAGAAGCAAAATCAGTGGAATATATATATATAAATATATCAAAGACCACAGTCTTCAGTACAGATTGTATCTCAATGTAAAGAAAACAAAAATCCTCACTGTTGGAACAATCAACAACATTCTTATCAATGGAGAAAAGATTGAAGTGGTCAAGGACTTCATTCTTCTTGTATCAACTATCAACAATCGCAGAATCAGCAGTCAAGAAATCAAACCACATATTGCATTAGGCAAATCTGCTGCACCAGACCTTTTTAAAGCGTTGAAGAGCTAAGATGTCAGCTTGGGGACTAAGGTACTCCTGACCAAGCCATGGTATTTTCAACAGCCTCTATACATGTGAAAGTTGGACAGTGAATAAAGAAGATCATAGAACAATAGATGCATTTGAGTTATGGCGTTGGAGAAGAATATTGAAAGTCCATGGGCTGCCAAAAGAACAAACAGATCTGTGGTGGAAGAAGTGCAACCAGAATGCTCCTTGGAAGTTAGGATGGCCAAACTCTCTCTTCCATACTGTGGACATATTGTCAGCAGGGACCAGTCACTGGAGAAGGACATCATGTTTGGTAAGATGGAGGGTCAGAGAAAAAGAGGAAGACCCCCAGTGAGATGGATTGGCAAAGTGGCAGCATACATGGGTTTAAGCGTGGCAACAATTATGAGGTTGGCCCAGGATGGGGCAGTGTTTTGTTCTGTTATGCATACAGTCACTATGAGTTAGTACTGACTCGATGGCACCTAATAACAACAACTATATATATACAAATTTGTGTGTGTGTCTAAGTTTATTGTCTAGGAAATTGCTTACAATTGCAGAGTCCCAGGTCCCCAGTCGAATAGAGAGAAACAGTCCCTCCTCTGTGTCCTTTATATTGGGAGCAGGTGACTCCCCAAAGGAACTATCCCTTTAATTGATTGGTTGCTCATAGCCACTCATCAGAGTTAACCATGCCTGTATTATGTTTCATTACTGTGGGAATAAGCACATCTCAACTGCCAAACCTCTTGAAATCCTGGTCTATTTAAGTTTACACAAAACCCTAAATTTAGAGAGGGTTTCTCTCATTTTCCCTTGCTGACCCTCCAAAGTTATGAAATGTAAATATCCCTTCCCAGTGAATGATCTCCCTTAGGATGTGTACAAAGCAAACAAGATGAAGTCTTTGTATCCTGGTTTGTAAAAGGCATTCTGATGTATATCCTCACAGACTGATTTATTCACCCATAAGTCCTAGTACATTCAGTATTCTTAGCCCACATCACAATTCAAATACATCAATTCCTCTTCCATCATCATTTTCATCATCCTGCTTTCACATGCCTTTGAGGTAATTGAAAAGACCTTGGATTTGGTCAGGTTCATCCTAAACATAAAGCAGTATCTTTGCTTTTTGGAACTTTAAAGAAGTCTTTTGCTGAAGATGTCTTCAATGCAATGCCATGTTACTTCTAGACTATTCCTTGTATGGGCATTGATTATTGATTTAGGTAGAATAAAATCTTGAAAATGTAAATGTTTTCACAGTTTATCATGATGCTGTTTATTGGACCTGTTGGGAGGACTGGTATTTTCTTTCTGTTCAGGTGTAATTGATATTGAAGAGCACACACTCATCAAATCTCTGGAAGTGGTCCTTAGAAAGAGGTGCTGAGAGTGGACAAATTCAGGATCTTTGTGAAGGAGAGAAACTTGGTCAATTTGGTTAACTAGAACTTTATTCTGATTGATAATTGGTGTTAAGCAACTTAGTTACTCATTAATGAGGAGAAGAAAGGAAATCAGAGGGTTTGTGTCTGGCCTCGTCATAAGTACATAGGGGATATCTCTAAGTCTTCTCTAAGTCATATGGAAAGAGTGATTATTTGCAGCAGACAGGTTTTCTGAACATGAAAGGTTGGGAGATTTCTTTAACCATCACTAATTTCCAATATCATGGGGTTCAGAAGAAATTTTAAATGAGTACTATCATGTTTTCTTTTTCCTCTCTAGCTCTACAACAAATGTGGGCTGATCACCTCACAGTTCCCAGACATTGAGGGAGGGAGGAAAATTC